ACATTTACGTAGCATATTTAACATACTGAAATCTGTTGCTTGATAGGTGCAAATCAGATGTAAGTTGGCACCACACCAAAGAAGGAGATATTACAAAATGTGGTCAAAGAGGTAAGGTTAAAGGAGGATCTTAAATCAGGCAGAAGTAAAGAGGGAAAGGGATCAAGTAATGGAAGAAACTGGGCAAAGAAAATTGGGCCGCTTGAGGCCTGAACTGGAGAAATGCAAAGTTCTCAGAGAGTAAAAGAGCTACTCAAAATCACACGAGGCCACAAAGTGCCTTGAATGTGAAAATATAGAGTTTGATCCAATGGGAGCTAGATAGGCAGGTCTCCTTGCAGATTGGCACAAAACTAATTGAACCTTTCAATCTTGTATATTTTCACAGCACATTTTAATGCACCTTTTTAAAAATATAGATCCAGAAGTACTATTTGAATTTCTGTCACATATCAAATCTAATTGAATTGTTGGCTCAAAAGCAATTTCTCACTGCAATCCAAGTACAATACAGCACTAACCAATTGAGCAATAAATCTGCACTATTCCCACCAGACTCTGAAAATTGTGCATTTAGTTTGGACAGAATATGGGGAGCTCTAAACTGTAGCTGTAAAACCACAAAGAAACATGATAAATGCAGGAAATCAGAAATTAAAACAGAAAATATTTGAAATTTCACAGCATTGATCTTTCATCAGAATTCCTGCTAAAGATTTTTGACCTGTAATATTAATTCAGTTTCTTTTCCAACAAATGCTGTCTGATCTGTTGAGTTTGTCAAGCATGATTTTTTTGTTTGTTTCTCATGCAGCTCCTGTAATCAGCACTTTATCTAACTATGAAATTTCCGGCAAAAAAAAAGCCCCAAAATGTATCACACAATTAATGGCCATACAAAAGAGCAGAAAGTTTTGCAAATTCTCAGCAGGTCTGGCAGCATCTGTAAAGAGAGAAACAGAGGTAATGTTTCATGTCGACAACCTTTCATCAAAACTCTTTTCTTTAAGTTGTCCTCGAGTCAGATTTCATAAAATAAAGCTCTCCTACATCCAAATATATAAACCAAATATAGCCCATACAATAGTTTAATTAGGATGCATTTGAAAAGGCGGATGTCTCTTTTTGTTTTTGAGTATAATCCGCACAGATTTGTCCTACATTTAGATTCACAACATAGAGTGATTTTGTAGAATTTCTGATTAAACAAATGCAAGTCTCTCCAAATGAAAGGAGGTGTAAATTAATATATTTCATTGCACTTCGAAAAAAATTGCATTTTTATTTCATTGTTTTCCAGCAATGAAAGTGACATGTCATATTCCAGTATAAATGAACAAAATCAAAGTGCAAATCTCTCAGTTACAGAAAATGCATGCAATCTACCAACCAACAGCTTGTCACCTTTCGACCTCCACTTCACAGATTAGTGAGCCAAACATCTGCCAAACATCTGTACTCCAGAGAGAGCCAGGTATGGTGCAGATCTCACTGGTTTATAAGGCACGCTGCAAAGCCAAGCTTCTCAGCAACACATCGATTCATATTTTTCCAGGTGAATACATTTGACTTCAACATCATGGATTCAATTTGCAGTTTTAAAGAAAACCTTTTTTCTTATATAAAAATGGTGTGGTTTATAAATACTGAAACACAATTTGAATAATGTTTAGATGGTAAATACAATGTTTACAGTAATCAGATGGGAAATTAAAGTGTATGTGTTTTTATTTAATACAATAGTTTTGATTTCCGGATTCATGCCAAACCAATCACAGGGATAGGATCACAGAATCATACAGTACAGAAAGAGGCCATTCAGCCCAGAAAGTGCCTGCTCTCTGAGGGAGCTAGCCATTAGTCCCACTCTTCCGCTCTTTCTCCCTAATCCTGCAACATTATTCTGTTTAATTAAACTCAATTCCTTCGAGATTTGACAGACGGAGATGACAGGTGTTGATTATCTCCCACTGCTGGAAGAGCAGAAGCAAACCCTCACTTTACACATTAGGAATAAACGTTTACACAGAAGAGGTGCCCACTCGTATACCCGCTTACCTCATTGGTCAGTCCAGATCAGGCCGCTATATCGCTAATACTTACCCGCATTAACCAATAAACAATATGCTGCAACAAACCTAGCAATGCTCCGTGGAGCATTGTGATTTAACCAAAGTGCCAAAGGTGCAATGTAAAACCACATCAAATAGAATTCAAACACAAGTATCGACTTTAAGACTTGACCACTGAGCCAGCATAAATATTGAAAAATCATATTCTGCTCCGAATTAAATTGAAAAACATCAAAACCATTGTATTACCGAGCAGAAACTAAAACAAATCTATCTCCCCTGTTGTGACAACGTGCACTGGCGAAATAAAATGATAAATTAACATCATTTATATATGTACATATATATATATATAAAAGACCGCCATCGATTGTGCCGAGATAAAAGGCAAGTGTAGTCTAAAGACATCTTCGGTTCAAACCATTAAAACTATGGCACAATGCGTTAAAGTCCCAGCCACTTTGGCATCTAACGATTGAAAAACAGTCACAGCAAGATTAATGGAGAGACAGCACCCACCCCCTCCCCCCACCCCACTCTGTTAAGGTTTGAATGCAGACTTATTAAACATTCCAAATAAACGATGCAATTTTAATATAAAAAAGTCATTTCAATTACTTGCGACAATTGGCTCGAAATTACTCACAATACACAAAAACTGAATGCACATGGATATTCTGAACCATACATCTTCTCAATAGGAGGTGCATGCAAAATTTTAAAAAAAACTATCCATTAATCAGTCGAACAGTCAGGACCTGTTAGCAAGAGTAGGAAGCATCGTCTGATTGAAGCTGGCACTGTGGAGCCACGCAAGGCCCGCAGGCAGTTAGAAAATAGTGGTACCGTATCCCCGTCACATTTCAGCACCACGGCCAGTTCATCTGGACCGAGAACTTTGCATTATCAAAAAAAAAACCAAAAAAATAAATATCAAGTGTTACCAGAGTAGTCTGTACAGTCGGATGACCTTTGTAAACAGCCACGTGAGATGCCGAGATGTACAACCGAACCAAAGGCTTCATTCACCTCCTCCAAACAAGTGCAGATGCCCCCCCACCAACCAAAAAAAAAATTCCAACCTTGTTCGTTCCTAACTGCTGAATGAAATGGGGGTGGGGGGTGTATTAAAAATGCACGGCCTTAGAAGATTTCCTTAAACGGCTGCAAGCCTCTTATTACTACTTGGGAGGTATGACAACTGGAGGTACACCACGTTTGGGTCTCCACATTAAAACTTGGGCGTCGTTTGCGTTGGGCTTCACCAAGGCATTGGGCGGTATAGGCTCCATCCTGCTTAATATCCGAGGCTGCTCCTGCTGTGTCCTTCCAACAAGCTTAGCGCGATAGCCCAACGGGTTCGATGGGTCAACTTCTATGTCAACCCGCATCCTCCATTTGATTGTCTGAAGTAAAATCTTCTCTTTGCTGATTGTGTTCATGGCTACCAGCCAGGTGGTGAAACTTTGGTCTCTTTTAATCCTGGTTAGTTGCGGCACGTTGCTGTCACTCACAGGGACAGCCCATGTTACACTCGGGTAAAAATTGTCATTCATACTGACTAAAAACCGAGACGCCTTGTTGATGGGACCGACCAAAGTCACTGTCTCGGTGGTGTTTCCATACCATGGATAGCTGACTCCATCAGAATCACTGATAGCTTTAACCCTGCCTTCTCGCAAATCAGGAAGTTCCCAGCTAGACCTGGATAAAGATAAATACAGATAAGCATCATCTGCAGGCAGCTGTAGTTAGCACAACTTATTCATTCTGATGCACTTTACCAACCACATATGAGTGTCCACGAATAGTGTGGACACTCATAAGATGACTGTTTACTCAATTGGGAGAGTTAGAGTGTTGAAGGCGTGAGCTGAATATCTGTTCAGCTGATCCTTGACATTGTATTTTTTTCCCTTATTAATGAACAATATTGAGGTGGAACTTGCTTGAAAGATAAATTGGGAGAAACTATTTCCATGACTTCCAGGAGTAAAGGACATTGTTTAAAAATGGTAACCAGCTTCTTTGTGAAAGGACTATGACAATTGGAACTCTCTGCTACATTTGTTGGTAATTTTAAAACAGAGATTGGTACATTTTTGATTACCAAAACTTTTCAGGAATAAGCACAAATACAGATCTCTGAGTTAGATGGCAGATTAACTATCAATTCACAGGAGAAATTGATGGTTGAGTCCTGGTAATGTCCCTGGACTAGTAATCTAGTCATCCAGCCTAATGCACTGGAGACATGGGTTCAGAACCCACAGCAGTTAGTGGATTTTAAATTCAATTAATATATCTGGAATCTAACGTAGGCCTTGGTAATGGTGACCAATGCAAGTATTAATTGTTATAAAAACCATCTGATTCACTAATGCCTAATAGGGCTGGAAAATCTGTCCTTACCTGGTCTGGCCTACATACAACTCCAGACCCATAGTAATATAATATACTGTAAGTCTTAAATAGGCAACAAATACAGGCCTTGCCAAGAACACCCATGTTCCATGAAAGACTTTTTTAATTGAAAGGCTGAACAGGTTGGAGGAGATAACTGGCCAACTCTTGCGTCTTAGGGTTGTATTTATAGTTAGGATGAAATGTTTTACTGAAAAGCACTTTAGATCAATGAGTGATCAAGTTTTAAAATATTCAACAGAAATGTTATTTGCTGTAAATTCCACATTTATAATTGTTACAGAGAAATAGGAAGGATGTCCACTAATGTCATACATTGCCTTCTCTGTCATGTTTTAACACACAGTGCATTTTAACTACATTAATATTATCAAGTGAGACACTGTAAGTGTATCTTATGTATGATTCATGACAGCATTACGGAATGAATTACTTACTTAATGTGTGAACAGACAATTGATGAATCAAGTTGTTCCTGTTCATTCATATTCTCTACTTTTACTTTTAAATATACTGAGCAGAAAGGGAAAATATTTATTACAAAAGTGCAGTAGCACTTGTGTTAGTATGTGCCCACTGTTTCTGAGAAATGTATAATTCGTTACTAAGTTTGTCAATAGATATATGTTACTGCACTGTTTTCTGTGTTCCCTGCAGAAGGTAACTTGAAAGCAAAGACAAATTAATTCTACTGCCAGTTGTCCATATATTAACAGCCTTGAGTTACCTGTCAAAAGAAAATCCTCACAATTTGCACAATCCCTTTAACATATTTAAAAAGGGATATGAAATTGGAGGTTTTAATTTTGCACTTATTAGGAAAGAAACACAAAAACTCCTTGCCTGCTTTGAATTTAAAGTAAGACAGTGAGACGGTCAAGTAAGACAATTAACAGTTCCTGCTGTTGGCATCTCCATGCCAACCACAGTCTGACCAATCGTGACCTTCTACTCATGCTGCATAAGTTATTGTTTCCTGTCTAAGGTGATTTTCTTGTGTTTAGTCCTGAAGAGTGTAAGGCAAAAAGCTTTGACTTCACTTTTTTAAAGCATTACTGAAATTCCGAATTACCAAGCGATTATTTGTATCCCTTTAACCTCATAGAGTTCTACAACACTCCTGGAAATCAGTGATCCTCCAATTCTAGTCTCTTGTGTGCATTCCACTTATTTTGTCCCTCTGCTGGCATCTAAGACCATAAGAAATAGGGATACAAAGAGGCCATTTGGCTCCTCAAACCTGCTCGATCATTCAGGAGGCTCATGGCTGATCCTACATTCCTCACATCCACTTTCCTGCATTTTCCTATAACCTTTGATTCTCGTACTGAGGAGTATCTATCTTAGCCTTAAATATACACAAGGACTCTGTCCATACAGCTCTCTGTGACAAGGAGTTCCAAAGACTCACAACCTGTTGAGGGAAGAAATTCCTTCTCATCCCAGTCTTAAATTGCCATCCCTTCATTCTGAGACTATGCCCTCTGGTCCTAGACTCTCCCATAAAGAGAAATATCCTCCCAGCATTTACGCTGTCAAGACCCTTAAGAATCCAATATGAATCATGTAGATCTTAAACTCTGACATCCCCTCCCTCAACATTTGGATTTCACCGACCCTCTCCCCTTTAAAGCTATCTCTCTTTGACTAAGCTTTGGTCCTTGCCATCATATCTCCCTCTTAGTCTCTAAGAATTTGTTGTCTGATTATGTAATTGAGAAACACCCTGCCAAGGGATTGATGAGAGTTTTAAAAGAGCCACATACTTATTCCTGCAGAACCACTCACATCAGAAAATGTGGTAGAACAAATGAGTTGGTTAAATCTTGTTGTGTTGCCACTTTATTAGTAAGTACAAACCAATCCTACATGCTTTAGAGACAGTATACAATCTGCAGTTTCATCAGTGTATTCAGTGCCTTCCTTGAGATTACGAGATGTGATTTCCCTAAGTAATAAAATGTTAACCCAGTTGTCTATTCCTGATAAGAAAATTGTTATGCCTTGTTGTCACAGAAATGTCAATTGAAAACTAAAACACAAGGAGGTTTAAATGAAACTTCATTTTTAGAACTGCTATGATTCTAAAACAGGATTTCTTATAGAAAATAATTTTGAGTTGCCACTAATTTATATAAAATTTTATAAAAAATTGTTATTAAACACAGCATCTGGGGTTTGAGCTTCAAACTTCCCACTGGTTATGATGCTGTTAAATAAAAATATAATTCTAGGAGGTTTCCACAGTTCTCTGAGCCTACCTCCTCAGCTTGCCCCATGCTCCCTGTAAACTACATTTAGCCAATTGTCTGTCCTTCTTGCAGAAATGTCTACGGTCCTTTGTAGATTGTGTCTAATTACCTAAGTATGAACCTACAAAATCACTCAGGATATATGTGAAGTGAGTATGCCTGATGTTAACAATAGAAAGTGACTCTTCAAAATATTTGTATTTTTCATAACACAAATGGCCAGAAAAATCTGAGACTGAAATCCAAAAATGTTCCAAAATGTGCAGCCAAAAATAACTGACAAGTTCCAAATTTTGCATGAGTATACAGGGCAATAGTAAATATGATGACTGTAAGGGTAAATTGTACCCTTTCGCTCTCCTAGTGATGAGCTGCCTGTGACAGCAGTACATGTGGGAAATTTGGCCCCTCTGCTCAATATCCTGTTACTAGTAGCCTGCACTCTAGTTATGAATGTCAATAGATTGGAAATCACCTGAACTAATTTGCATCCACATTTCCACTACCCACTCTCATTGTGCAATATTGACTTCCAAATCTGGCCAAAAAAAAGTTTAACTGCCAGGGAAGCGAAATATTTTTAAAATGATTGTGGAAGACTGAGCCACACCTTGGACTTCAGACCTGCTACAACTTGAGATTATGGAGCGCAGCTCGATTCTCACTAACTCTGTCCCACTCAGTGAGCTGTGCGGTTACAGCTTTGCACCCACCCCTCTTAAAAAGAGGTGATCTTTATTCTGGACAACAAGTATAGCATAGATGGCGATAGGAGAGCAGGTCACTTGCTCAACCCATCAGTTAAGCCTTTACCTGGCACAAAGATATTAAAAGTTAATATATTAACATATTAAAAATAAAATAAATTCTGATCAAATGATGAGTCTCACAAATGTGCATTGTAGAGTTTGAAAGTTTGGCTGATACACTTAAATCATGAAGAAATTGGTGACATAGTAGACAGTTAAGAAGGTTTTCTAAGATTACAAAAGGATTTTAATCAAAAAGGGTCAATGGACAGCAAAATGGCAGATGGAGTTCAACCTGGATAAATGTGAGGTATTGCATAAACAGGGGTAGGACGTATACAATTAGTGGTAGGGCCTTGGTTAGTGTTGTAGAACTGAGGGATCCAGGGGTTCAGATACATAATTCTTTGAAGTTTGTGTCACATATAGACAGGGTGGTTAAAAAGGCATGTAGCTCGCTTGCCATCATTGCTCAGTCCTTTGAGTTTAGGAGTTGGGATGTCATGTTGAGATTGTACAGGACATTGGTGAGGCCTCTTTAGAGTACTGTGTCCAGTTCTGGGTCACCCAGTTATAGGAAGGATATTATTAGGCAGGAGAGGGTTCAGAAAAAAATTACCAGGATGTTGCCACAAATGGAAGGTTTGAGTTACAAGGAAAGGCTGGATAGGCTGGAATGTTTTTCACAGGAGCATAGGAGGTTGTGAGGTGTTCTTATAGAAGTTTATAAAATCATGACAGGTACATATAGGGTTAATGGTCGGTGTCTTTTCCCGAGCATGGTGGATTTTTAAGGTGAGAGGACAGAGATTTAAAAAAGACATGAGGACTAAATATTTTTACACAGAGAGTGGTTTGCATGTGGAATAAATTTCCTGAAAAAGCCATGGATGTGTGCACAATTACAACGTTTAAAAGACATTTGAGAAAGTCCATGAATGGGAAAGGTTTGGAGGGATAAGGGACAAGTGCAGGCAAGTGGGACTAGTTTGGTTTGGAATTATGTTTGGCATGGACTGATTGGACCAAAGGATCTGTTTCCGTGCTGTATGACTCTAAATGTTAGAGCATTGAATAGAAGTAGGTCGATCGGCCTACCAGGAAACTTTCTGTAATTCAACATAATCATGATAGATCCCCATTTCCATTAACACCTTTGGTTATTAAAAATCTTATCAACCTCAAATTTATAATTTATAACTGAACGAGCATCACTTGCCATTTGTTGAAGTGTTCCAATTTTTCACCACGCATTTCTCAATGTTGCCCTATTATAGTC